GGCCACTTTCCTCTGTCCCAAGGTGGCCGTTGTGGGGAGGTTAGACTGTAATTTAAAAATTAACATAACACCGCCTTTTACAAATAAAGATATGTGCTAAAAACCAACTCAAAGCCGAATAACTCACATCAAAGTTCTCAAATCCAAAAATGTCAAGAACACCAATAGAGGAGAAGCTGTTGTTGCCCTTGATTCTCTGGTTGATCTTGTTGATGAGCCATTTAAATGTGCAAGCATAAAGATTCATGGCCATTGAATCCCTGGAATCCAGTGCCTGTAAAAAGTATTATTTACAGTGTAAAATAACTAGTTAAGAGTGTAACAACTAAACCGTAACTAAACAGTATTAGGTTTCACCTACCAGCTTCTTGGTTCACATTGGATTTCGATGTGTACATTAGAAGGTTAATTTCTGTGCAAAAAAATTTCTTCACTCTAACGTTTGAATTTTTGCTGATGTGCAAATCAACCCTCATCGTGCATGTCCGCACAAGATCAACACCAACAAATAGTCCATCACCAACGGTGCAGCAATTGAAACAAAGTTTTGGCAACTCTTCAAGCATTTAGAATTAACAGTTAGCATGGGAGCTCCACAGCCACAGGCATCATGGGATGGCACCAGATGCAAAGAACCAATAAGCAAATAAAATAACTCAACATATTTAACTAATAAGTAGCTTACATTATAGGTCTGCAATGTATACAGAGTGAGAAATTGTTATTACTGCACCTGTTCTACAGACAGTGGTGACTGGATTTCTTCTCCTCTGAGGATCATTGACTTCTGGGTCAAAGCATCAGTCAGCTCATAGATGTCCACACGAAGAAGATTTGCAACATTCTCCAATACTGGCCACAAAAAATGAATTCCCATTAGAAGAAAGTTTGTTTACAAACTACATGACACCAGCAAGCAACAGTTTAAAGAAATAATCTACTGTACATGTATTTAACATTTAGTAACTCAATGAAGTGTTTAGTAACTCAATGAAGAGTTAGCACATGGCATTTGAACCAGCACTAAAATTCATTATCCTTGTGTGTTATGAAATCTCTTCCATAAAATTTCTATAAGTTGGCTTCTTTGGTCGTCATCAGGATGTTTTTCCTGTGAAGATTTTGAAATCCTTTAGTTTCATGACCTGCAGATGTTTCATAACCTATTCCATTTCCCCTGCCATAATTCACACCCATTGATGTACAAGTTGATGCATTTGTTAAGGTCTCTAAAGATGCAGAGACCAGCCACGTCTTTCTCCATCCCTTGCTAATTTTTTACCACCTAAAATTCTATGGTCACAAGTACATCACTCTTGCCTCATTCCATTCCAAGCACAACACTCCATCCATGTGCAGCTAAATACAGAAATTGCATCCTATTAACGAGCTAACATTCTCTAGTCAGCCCTAATTTAAGCTAACCAAAACACTACTCAGGCTAATCGGAGTGTTGTTCAGGCTAACCAAAGTGATGTTTAAGCTAACTGGAGAACATTTTAGTGTGGTGCAATTCCTGTATTTCACTGCTTGTCTTCATCCTGCCTTCAAACAGAAAGGAACAGAATGAACACAGAGGAGGAAAGCATCAGTTTCTGTTTCTTACACACCACTTTTTTCTGCGACTTGAGCACCGCCTGCAGCCATGAAATTAACATTTCCAAGCTGTAGAACACCAGCAATGACCTGAAGGACATCGGCAATTTCTTCCTCTGTGAAACACATCACCTTCATAGCATTCT